GTACATTTTGACGTTTCGTTGAGCTGTGGTGCCACCTTTCCTACATTTTAATAAAATGGAAATGTGCGATGTCGATTATCGTAACAACTGCGTTAGAAAATCGCATAATCGTTAGCGCAAGCGACAAAATTCGTAACTTTGCGATCCGACAAATCGTGTCGATAAAAGTTACAGAATTGCACTGCAGGTCTGGATATTGTATCAGGTTAAACTCCTACTTATCCAGACTAGACCCCGGCATACCCAACGTATGCCCTGCATGTGGAGAGTCTCCGCACGACCCTAACTACCTCTTCACATGCCCTCTCAAACCAACTCATCTAACCTTCCTTTCCCTTTGGTCCAACCCCGTCAAAACAGCTCATTTCCTGGACCTACCATTAGATGACCTCGGCGACTTAGACTGATCAAACTTTTGCCTAAGCGGGGTTAGCGAAACGCTACAACAACAACAACAACAACAGTTTCCCGGGCCAATACATAGTTCGAAAATGCCAAGATTTCACTGCCACTAATCTTTCACATTATGTATGGATTTGCCCACCATTGGTCGCAAGCAGCTGTAAGGCTTGAAAACCACTTTAAAGGAACCTCATTGTCAAGTGTGACCATAACAGATTGGTATAACTACTGTAGGGAGGCGGTAGTATTTTATGAAATTGATTTTCAGCATTTGGTCGGTAAAATTGGTGGTCCGGGAAAAATCGTCCAAATCGACGAATCGAAATCTGGAAAAAGAAAATTTAATAAATGTGAATTAAAATTTTTATATGTTTTTAGACTTACATATTAATTATGCATTTATTACTTTACAGGGAGGAGGGTTGACGGTCATTGGGTCCTTGAAATTGTGGAAGATGGTAGCGTGGACATACGTCTTGAAGTTTGTCCGGATAATGCTCGGTCCGCTGAGGTGCTTATCTCTCTAATCCGCAAGCACGTCGTAGAGGGAACAACAATCCATACAGATTGTTGGAAAGCCTACGATTGGATTACGGGTATGTGCACCGGAAAGTCAACCACAGCGATCCGGGGAATCCGCTTGTAGCGCTGGATTTGACTCACACTCAGTGAATTAAGGCATGTAATAAAAAGATATTTTGTAAAGGAAAACTATAATAACCCCGCCAATTTTGCTGAAATTGTGGTTGAGTATTTGTGGCGTTGAAATATAAGTAGGCGCCATAAGGATCCATTTGCACAAGTCATTAATGCAATAAAACACACGTATAAGCCGTAATTACAATTTGTTTTATTTTTACTTAAGGATTTTCTCAAAGAATTTTCATAAAAGAGTTTCACCTTAGTTTCACTGTGCAAGGCGAAGCCGGTGTTGGTCCGGCCCAGGGTTACAATCTATAGCTCGGCCGAAGGCCTCCAATTTACAAAGGAGTTTCACTTAAGAATACTGTGCAAGGCAAAGCCGGTGTTGGTACGGCCCAGGGTTACAATCCAAAGCTGGCCGAAGGCCTCCAATTTACAAAGGAGTTTCACTTAAGAATATTGCGCAAGGCGAAGCCCAATTTACAAAGGAGTTTTACTTAACTTAGAATCTTTTCTTTTTAAACAATTTTTTTTATTATATTTTCCAGCATATTTATCCTTAATTTATAAACCTTTTTACTGAGTGGCTAAGCCTGCCTAGCCAAAATTTCAACAAACAGGCTCTGTACTTAAGTATTATTTTACTGAGTAGTCCAGCAACTCCAATGTAGACGTAATTTTGCATTTATTAATCAAAATTTAAATTAGAATTATTATTAGTTTTAGAATTTAGGCATTTTCCTCTTTCCATCCATATAAAATTTATTCACGAAAGCTTGTGGCTCTAAGCAAAAATTTTCCCTTGCATTCGTTTTGTCCCGTAAATAGTAAATAAAAAATTTAATAATACTCGATACTGCATTTTTTTTTTTAATTTAAATATTCTTTAAGAATTTCAGTTTTTTCCTACTTTTTACTATTGTACTATTGTATAGCAAAACCATGGTGGACCTTTTTTACGTTCAAAGTTGGTGGCCCGAATAAAGAAAGACTGGGTTTTGTAAATATTCGTATACTACCGTTTGTAACATTTAATATGAAAATCGATATTCTTGCGTTTGTAGTTTATATAGTTTGATTTCGCTCTTGGTTGGATGTCATAATAAGGGCTTGACTTTTCCTGCCGAAGGGCGACAGCATTTATGATATCCATTTATCTATAATTTGGGATATTGGCCGAACCAGAACTCCAACCTTAGTTAGTACTGCCATACGCAATCCTAACCATTCGGCTATTGCGGCCGCACGATATTATAATTAGACACATACATAAATCTACGGCCCATGGAGGAACTAAACACCAAAAAAATCTGGTATAGCGCCTAGTTGCAAGTGTTATAGTGGTATGGAGAATGGAGTCAATGCTGTAGTACGAAATATTGTGTCCGATTATTGATTCCGTTAATCGGTTGCGTATAAAATTTTTGTTGCGCAAGGAAAACTTAAATATTCATTTCCTCCATTTTACTTACGCTAAATTTCTATTGCGGAAAGTTAACGGAAAGAAGAAGAATGTACGGAAATGTAAACTTTTTATTAAAGTGTTTCATTTTTATTATTATTATTAATTTATTATTATTATTATTTTATTTTATTATTATTATTATTTTATTTTATTATTATTATTATTATTATTTTATTTTATTATTATTATTATTATTATTTTATAATTATTAACATAATTTCATTTATTATTATTATTTACAAATACATTTTAGCGAAATAAAATTGAGCTAAAACTAAAAAATTCTGTAGTTCTATTTCATTTGCTTCCCCACTAATATCATCCCCCACAGGGTTGTTTATTGGATCTTTTTCTTTAGGTAATGGAAAATAAAGTTCTGCCTTCAGAATGAGCGGTATTAAAACTTATTTTTTTGTTTGGTTGTTTTTTTGGTAGAATTAACTGGCTCTCAGTAAGGTGTTAATGGCCATGGTTGAAAAGAATGCACCTTGTTACCCGTAAAATCTTTTAAAATTTTCTAACACCACTTTGTTGCTGAGAATGTTTACTTACCCAAAACTAGGCAATTTCTTCTATTGCTATGTTTCGATTGGAGGCATGTTTTTGCAGCGCTCCAAATGTAGGAATCATAGAAACTTACAGGATATTGTGAAGACACTTGCCATATTTTCTACTCGCACACGTATCTGTATCTACGCAATTATAAAAATGGCATACACATGTACAATCCAAGCCAATGAAGATTTATTTACAATCATAACATTAGTCCTGTAGTAATCCTTTATATATATATTTATATAATATATATATGGCGCTTTGCAACCGCTAAAGCGATTTTTCGGCCGAGCACACCTCCAATTTGTGGTTTTGTGTCTTGATGTTTTTTTTAACAAATGGAAATACCTACAGTTTATACTAAGCCGCATAAGAACGGCTGATGGTTGTTTATGAGGAGACTTTTTTCATGTCCGAATACACTTGGAGGGGGTGAACTTTCCTTTCCGAGATGTGACCGCCATTAGAAAATTTAACTTAATTATTGCGAATACTACATTTATCATAAGAAGTCATTTTAGCTATTCTGTCCTCGTCAGGATTCTTGCTCATGGATATCCATTTGCTGCACAACAAATTTTCTAACCTGCTCAAATATTCATCCAGCTCTTAGCAAAACGTAGCTATGCTGATATCTGCCTTCTGCAACAAATCTCAAGCAAGCACGTAGTTTATCTTTGGCTACAAGAGCTCCTTGACAACCACTTCATGAGCATGCAGATTCTAACTCAGACTAAATATTTTTAAACGCTACCTTGTTTAAACGAAATTTTTTTTTGAAGCTGTAAAAGTAAGCATAGCTATTATTTGCCGGAAGGCTGCTTAATTTTTTTTTTTTTTTTTTTCAATTTATTCTCTATCGTTCATCTGCAACACATATTTAGATTCATAGCGTAAAACTCTTCTTTCCAGTCGCATTTTCAAAGAGTCACTGTCATTACTATCAAAAGAGGCTATGTACCAATATTTTATTTATAACATAACGCTCGCGTCTAAAATCACATCTAAAACAACTCATAAGCACTTAAAATTGGAACATTAAATTAACTTCGCCGAAAGAGAATACTACAGGAATGAATGATTCAAACTTTCGTATCAATAGATATTTCTTTACGCGCGGAATTAGTAATACAACTCATTAACAAAGTGTAAAATCTGTTTTAACCCTTTATTGACGAGTTAAATGAGAAATACCTATATCCAAAAGGAAAAATATAATTTATATTTTACAAAATCTTATAGACTTTAGTACGCAGCGCTAGTAACATAGGCTTTCGGCTGACCGGTTTAAATACGGCGATGAAGATCGGTTTCCCTTAAAAAATTATAAATTTTAGGCATGTTTTTAACTAATATCAGTAGGATAATTAAAATGAATCTTTGTTTTTATAGTGGTTAGTTCTTCATATAAGTTAAGCTATTTTTAACGTTTTTTAACGTCATCTGTCATTTCTCGGTTTTTCTACTGTGCTGAAACTTGCTATTTATATTTTTTCTGCCTTTTTTGTTAAAAAGGTTTCGTTTTGATGAAAAGTAGTCGGGTCAAATTGCGTCACGCATAGTTCATACTAAATAATACAACTCTGTATTGAATTGGAATTTCTCCTTAACATACTTTTATTTATATGAACACTGAATATGTATTTTTGAATCTTTGAGAAAACTTCTTAATATCGAAACGTGTTTTCCTTATTTACGATTCTCGCTCTGCCCCCAACATAGGTTATGGGCCCAGAGCACAGCTTTGATGAAGTAACAGAAGTTTGGTGTCGCTGAAGCTGGTTGAAAGTGAAAATATGTCGAAATATTATATTTAAATGATTTCACATGAATTGTGGAGAAGTTATCTAAAGTCGGCATTGAAATACAAGAAGAAAACGTTACAGAAGATAATTCCACGAATAGGCGAAATAAAAACATGCGGAGCATAAAGTGCTTTAAATGTGGACAGCGCGGTCATATTGCAGCGAATTGCAACGTAAAGAGCGATAGGAGCAATCACTGGTCATTAAAGAGAAACGAGCATTCGTTCACGATGTTAGCTGAAGGTGTAGGAGATGTGCGAATAAGATCTCAATAGAGTGACATTATACTCCATAATGTTTTGTTTGTGCCGAATATGTACAGTAATTTTATGTTAGTTGCGAGAGCAGTGAAAAATGGACTTGAAGTAACTTTTGATGAATATAGTGCAAAGATAATGTGCAAGAACCGAAGCTTACAAATTGGTATATCGTTATACGGGCAAACCAGTAGAAGGGTACGTGGATGCCGATTGGGGCAGTAATACTATTGATCGAAAATCATACTCTGGTTATGTATTATTCTTGGTTGGCAGTGCGATTTCGTGGGAAAGTAAGCGTCAAACAGCGTAGCGATACTAACAAAGAATTTAAGTAAAAACAAACATGAAAAATTGGTAAAAATGTCAGGGTTTGAACAAATATAATGCAAACGACCTACTCGTGTTGAGGAAGAGTGATGAAAAGTGGTCGGGTCGAATTGCAAAACGAATAGTTCGTGCTAAATATTACAACTCTGTATTGAATTGGAATTCATCCTTAACATAATACTTTTAGTTATATTGAGCAAACTTCTTAAGATCGATTACGATTCTCAAAGTTTTTGTTGTTAAGATAATATTCTATTGTGTTTATGTTAGCTTTTAATGATTGGCAATTATATTGAAGAATCTTCAATTTGCTAATTTCTTCTTCCATAGTTTTTCGGTCAAATATGATATTCCGGCTTTGAGAACGCCAGTGGAGGCCGGAATGTGTGAATAGACCATTTGCTAACGTCTTGTTTAGAAGTACTTAGTTTATGGTACATAAATTTGTCAGAAATTTCGCTGTACATAAATTTGTCAGAAATTGAAGATTCTGTAAATATTTTGGTCTTTGTTTTGCATATTGTCTTCTGATTGTTTAAGGGAATTGCAGGGAATTCTTTATAATGTTCTATTACTGCATAAAATCTATTATCACGTCTGCTTATATTCTTTACTGTTTTTATGTGGTTGAGAATTATTTCTTTTTCCCACACTGGATATTTGGTCTGTGAGTGTATGATCATCTTTTTAACATATTTTTTCATTTGCATTTCTATTTTTAATTAAAATATTATTTAAGAATTTCAGTATTCCCCTACTTACTACTATTGTATAGCAAAGCCAT